GGTACTGGGCAGGGTCCAGGTTGAATCCAGCTGCCTTCCCAAAGCAATTGTGACCAAGGTTGAGAAGGCGACTGGCCTAGAACCAGAAGCAGAGGGGAAAGCTTGATTCTGGGAAGAGGTGCTCTTGGGTCCCCTGCCAAGGATACTTCCTCAGCATAGGAATGAGAGGGCCAGTATCTCAGCAGATCCAGGAAGGGAGGCTGGGAGGACACACCCAGGAATGCCTCCACAGGCCTGGGCACCAGTGCAGACACACTTCCGTGAGTTTTTATATCCTTTTCCTTGCTGTCTCTTTGGACACTTTTGTTGTCACTTATCCCTGGACATCCTTTTCGCATCTGCATAGGTAGTACTGCTTGGCCCACAGATCAGGGCATCTGAGTCTGAACCCCAGGTCTGACACGTGTGGGCCACAGTAACTGGTGACCTCAGTGACTCTAAGTTTCAGCCCCCTCATGTGTAAAATGGGAAAAATGTTATGCTTCCCTTAAAAGCTTACTAGATTAAATCAACACTATAAAATATTTAGAACATGCCTAGCAGAATGTACACTTTCAACGAATGCTAAAGATAACAATTTGTAGTCACTCTGGCCCTTCACTCATTCATCTACAGTCTCATTTACATCCTTGGTTCTCTCATGAATATGTATGGCTGCTTCATCTACACCAGACACTATGCAAATATAGAGGAGCTGCAGGTATAGGAGAAAAGGATTCTTGCTCAGCCCATGCACGTGGTCTATAGGATGGGAGAGACTAGACTTAGGCCTGATGAAATTAAGTGAAGTGGTCCACAAAGGCAGTGTGCAGTGAAGGGAAGCTTAGAGGAGGAAGGGACCATGTGTGCTTGGGATGCAGCCAGGCAGAGGGACGCTGGAGAAGTTTCCCACAGAAGGGATATTTAGCTGTTTTCATGGAGGGGAGAAATAATAGTAGTTCATAATATTCTTTTCAGAATAACAAGCACATAAAAATTTAGTGATAGGACTGGCAAGATAGCTCAGTAGGCTAAGCGCCTGCTTTGGCAAGCACAGGGACCAGGGTTCCATCCCTGGTCCTGCATGCTGTGCTGGCCCCACCCCTGGGGTGCGCTGAGCCTGCAACCGAGTCAGGGTGAGGTGATGCACACCTATAATCCCAGCACTGGGGAGGCTGAAACAGGAGGATCACTATGAGTCCAAGTTGCATAGGGAGACCCTGCACCAAACACATAAGTGAAAAAAATTAATTAAAAAAATGTAGTGATAAAACAATGAACTCTGTGGCTGGCCATTTGGGTTAGGTCCAGCTTGTCCCGACTCCAAGTTCAGTTTTATCAGTAGCTGTAGGTTAGGGGTAGGTGGCATCTGTATTTCTTCTTGAGTGAGTTCTGATAGCTGTGTCCTCTAAGAAATTTGCCTACTTCATCTACTTTATGCAACTTTGCTTGCACGACATTTATTATTCTTCAAATAACAATAGTGGATCTTATCTCTGTGTTTTTTTTCTTTTGGTGCTGGAAGTCGAACTCAGAACCTCAAAGTTTTCAGGCAGGTACTGTGCCACTGCGCTATGCCTTTGGTCTAGGTTCTTATTTCTGATGTTCTAATTTATCTTTTTTTCTCTGATCAGTCTGGCTAGAGATTTGTCAATGTTATTCAACCTGTCAGAAATCCATTTTTAGTTTCACTAATTTACTATTTGGTTTATTATATTATCTATTTTATTGATCTCTTCCCACCTCTTTTTTTGACTGAGGAGGAAGCTGAGTTCATTGATTTCTTTCTGTGTTTCTAATACAGATTCTCCTCAACTCAGGATGTGGTGGTATCCTTCTTGATAAGCCTATTATAAGTTGAAAATATCACAAGTGACAAATGCATTTTGTATAGTAGTCTGACGAACATCGCAGCCCAGCAACAGCAGTGTGTTGGTTGCTGACCACCGTGTTACTGAGCACACGGCTGACCGGCAGCTGTAGTTTACTGCTGCAGCTCAGGATTCTCGAAGAGCATCGCCGTACTGTGTATCACAGTGCCAGGAAAAGAGCAAAAGTCAATATTTGAAGCATGGGGGCCGGGGAGATGGCTCAGTGGAACAAGCGCTTCCCTGGCAAGCGCAAGAGCCTGAGTTCAATCCCCGGTTCTGAAAAAAAAAAAAAAAAATTGAGGCATGGCTTCTACTAAATATGTTCATTTTTGCACCATGGTAAACCATAAAAGTCGCAAGTTGAACCATTGTGAACCAAGGACTGCCGATGACATGCTATGAATTCCCTTTGAATTGCTAAAGCAAGAGTAGCTGTAGCCTTTCCAGTTTGATGTTTTGTATTTTAGGTTAAAATACATTGTAAAGTATTTCAATTTCAATTTTTTTTTTGTCCTTCAGTTTCCAAAATTTTGGACACTTTTCAGATATATTGATATTATTGTCTTCCAGTTTCATTTTAAAGGATACTGAAACTGCAACTTTTATCCTTCTTGATGGACTGAACCTTCTGTCCTTAGGAAATACTATTCTTTTTCTCTGGTAACAACTGTTGTCTATTTTGTTTCATATTTTTATAGCCACTGAACCTTTCTTTTGCATACTGTTTGAATGGTGTATCAATTTCAATCCTTTTATTTGTTTTTTGGTGGCAGGAATTGAGCTCAGGACCTTACACTTGGTGGGCAATCATATACCGCTGAGCTATCTCTCCAGCCCTCCATCCTTTTACATTTAATCCATTTAACTTCATATTTGAAGTGTATTTTTTGTAGCAACATAGTGTTAGATCCTGCTTTTAAAATCCAATTTGACTTTTGCCATTAAGCATGTTGCTGAATTTGTATTAAAATGTGTATTTTACTATGGTAAAAAAAAATCCAATTTGACGATAGTTGACTTTTAACTGCAGTGTTTAGTCATTTACATTTAATGTGTGACTATTGCTGGGTTAATTAATTAGTTAATTAATTAAGCATTTTGTTATGTAGCCCATGTGTCTTCATTACTTTTCTTATGCTGAGACAAAATTCCCAACACCCAGAGTTAAAAGAGTAAAGGTTAATTTTGGTTCATAGTGTGTAGAAGTTTTGGTTCAGAGTTGGCGGCTCCAAGGCAGGGTGGCATGGCAGAGGGGACATAGTTCACAGCAGGCAGAAGGCAGAAGGGACATAGAGTAAGAGCAGCTTTTATATTCTACCTAGGCTAGCTTCCCAGACTATCCCTGACCATTGAGTGGACTAGTTCGGTAGTCACACACCTTCATCCCAGCATCACACACCCCAGGCCCGGCCACCTCTGAAAAGCCCCAGCTATGACCCGTGAGGCTCTGGGGGGGCCTCTAGACAGAAGCCAAAGCACCACACTAGTCTCAAACTTACTCCAAAGCCCAGCTGGCCTCCAACTTGGTTCAGCATCCCAAGTGCTAGAATTATAGGCGTGTGTTGCCATGCTCAGCTAATGAGTGTGTTGGGTTTAATCTGTCATGTTAATACTTACTTTTTTGCCTTTTATCTGTTCTGTGGATCCTATTTTCTCTTTTACTGCCTAATTTTCTACTAATTGAGTATCTTTATTACTACACGGTACCTATTTTCTTGGCTTATGAATTATAACTAGATTTTAGAAGAGAGTACAGGGGATGCACAGGCCTTCAGGAATAAGGGCAGGGGATGGGTATGCCCATAGCAGAACGGACAGGGTATGTGTATGCCAAGGTGGCTGCTTGAGTTTTATAGTATGTATCTTTAACTTCTCACACTCTATTTTCAGATGGTATTTTGCCACTTCATGTGTTGTATAAGAAATGTATGCCAATATATTTCAACGTATCCTTTCTTGGTTATAGCACTAGTTTTCTCATACTCTATTTGTACAGTATTGCTACTATTTTGTTTTAAATGTAGAGGAAGCCACTGCTGGGCTTTTCAGTGATGTGGATGCCTCTGCTCATTCTTGACCTTGATGAGCAGCACTGGGGCTGCTAAGGCCTCCAGTGGAAAATACTCCTCTGGTGGGCATGGGTGATGTGTGTCCTGGCCCCACATAAGCTGTCGACTCTGAGATGCTCCCTTCCTTGAGCTTTTCGGTGCCTTCTTCTACCATCCCCACAATAGTTCAGCACTTCAGCTTCACTCAGTGAAAGCTACCCTGTTTTCTGGATGTCTGGAGTCACTTAACTGCAAGGTTTCACCAACTGTGAAGTCCTCACCAGAGTATGAAATCCTGTATCATGAAAAGAATATCCTGGTCAAGAAATGCTAGCTCATGCAGGCTGCTGTTACAGGCCCCTGGATTAAGTACTCTCTTCTTTAGTAGAAAAGGACTCGGCCAGTGCTGTGGGCAATGGAAACTGGACCAGTACAGCTGGAGAAGGCCCAGTGCAGAGCCGAGGTTTGGGGCACTGCCACCAGTGTGCTCTGTCAAAGAGATCTAGTAAAGACCTGGACTTCTTGGGGCTGGGGAGATAGCTCAGTGGCATAAGCACCTACCTGGTAAGCGCAAGGTCTTGAGTTTGACCCCAGTACCAAAAAAAGAGACTTGAACTTCTCACTCCAACACACCCTTCATGGTTTTGAAAGGCCCTAGAAGAGTTTTCCAATGTGCAGAGAGTGCTTGCACTCCATCATGCTGAGCTTCCTCCATGTAGCCTTGCTTATTTTTGGACATCATATAAACAGATGTTCCATAAACTGACTTGCAAGGTGTCCTTATTTTTTGCACTTGATGGTACACAGAGCAATAATGTCTACTCTCTGTGGACACTGGAACACAGAGACCAAGCTTCCCCAAGGTCATCATTTCTCTAGAAAGACAACTCCAGCCCTCTCCTCCACCACCGTAAGAAAATCACCAGTCCAGCAGGGTGGTGCTGTGTGATTACACTTATTTAACATTTATTTGAGTGTAAGGATATGAAGACCAGAACAGATGATGAACCATTCCCTGCCCTTCATAGTGATCTGAGGAAGAAGCAGGAATGTCCCAACTGCAGGCTGGGCACCAACAAATGGTCTAGGTCAGCTTCTCCTCTGTGTCCATCCGGAGAGTCCCTGGGTCAGGTGCTGTTCCATTCTGAAGCTCTGATGGGTTCAAGGGATTAGTGGGGCAGTGGGGCTCACAGAACAGGTAGCCAAGGAGCAGTGGCCAGGGAGCATGCACAAATGATCAAGCTGTAGGCCCTGGATGTAGGGGTAGAGAAGGTGGGTGTGTGTGCTGGAGGTCCATGTCCGGCAGCCTTCAGTTGTCCAGGCTGGGCAACATGGGCAGAGGTCCTGCTCCACTGACACGCTTTCCCTGCTCTGTGGTACCCAAGTTTGTGGGGGGGGCACCTGGCCCTTCACTCGACCACATCGATGGACAGCATGGCCTTGATTGCTGGGAACTTGTTGCAGGAGAAGTCAGCAACCAGCTGCTTGGTGCCACTCCGGGTGGGCAGGATCTCGAAACGGACCCGGGACCGCTCCTTGGGGCGCAGGGCTGGTACCCTGAGGGACAGGAGTGTGGCTCAGTGTTGTGAGATGACAGACCTGGACTAGACTGTCTTCTGTGGCCCCGGTCCTGCTCTGGTAGGCAGTGGGCAGGGTCACCACTTCCTCAACTCCTGGTGTCACTGTGTCCCTCCAGGCCTAGGTATATTATGGTCTCCCAAGCATGCTAAGCCCTGAGGGGGCAGCTCTGGAGACCAGATTCAAGTTTAGGGAACCCCCCAACCAATGTATTTTCTTGAGTGCCAAGACCCCCCAAAAAGTAAAGATCCCAGGACCAGTGTAAGAGCTGTCTGCCTAGCCCAGAGCCTCCAGGCAGGCCCTCCTGCCCTCTCCTGCCATTCCCATACTGGCTGTCCAAGGGGAGGACTCACTCAATCTTGAGGTTGCCCCGGAGCAGGCCACTGCCCTCTACCATCAGCACACAGTCCCTCACGGGCTCGTCCAGCGGGTTGGAGAAGAGCATCTGTACGTTCACGGGCTTCCGCAGTCGAGCGCGGTCCAGCACCTGCAGGCCAGAGCCGTCGAGAGTCAGGGTGCTGGCTGCTTGGCCCTACCTGCCAACAGTGACGGCTGGGCCATGGGGTGGTGATGGGGAAGCGGTCCCTGAGGACTAAGGTGATTTGTGTATTCTCCTAAGTGTCAGGTGGCCTCCCACTATCCAGACAGGGGCTCTGAGACACTACCACTGTCCCCATCTATGGACAGGTGGCCTAGGCTCAGAGGGAAAAAGGCTCCTGCAGAGGCTGGCAGAGTAATGGTGTCCCCGCCAAGGCTACAGGCCCCGGGTGAAGTTCATCCAGGGAAGGGCAGCCCCAGTTTCCCAGGACAGCCCAGTCCCACCACCAATTGTCAGAGGGTTAGATGTTTTTTATGCTGAATTAAATAATATTAATTTCCTTGAATCCCTTGCTCATTCATCCTTGTTTTCCCTTAAATCCCAAGGCTCTCTTCCTGAGAGGCCCTATACTGAGAATGGTGACCACAGGCTGGCTCACTGCCAGGTGTTGGGTCTTCCCACCTCCTGCAGGCCTCTGCTTTGATCACGCCACAGCCGCTGACTTCCTGCTAAGCTTCTAAGACATGGCAGTTTGCTTGTGTGTCACATTCTGGTCTGGGGGCCTCTGATACTGACCATACAGGGGCCAGAGAAGGGGAAGCCAGGGCATGGGATCAGAAGCTGGGTGATTTTTCCACCACCAAAGACAAAAGCTGCTGTGCTTCTGCAAAAGCCTCCCATGACTGGAAGACAGGAGTCATGTAATAAGTACCCACCCCTCCCTTCTTCCAAGGGGCCAGACAAGGTCATGGGTGGGGAGAAAGTTTTGAAGAAGTAGAAATAGAGCTTGCATAGCTGATGGATTTATTTTTTTCTGCTTTTGAAGATCAATGGGGGTGCTGGTGTTTGTTAAGGTTGGTCTCTGTTTTCCTTGTCATTAGTCCTCACAGGAACCACTTTACAGTGACAAAGCTAAAGTTCACACTGGTTTGGTAACTTGGGAAATTCACCACAAGTAAACAGCAGGACCCAGCAGTTTCCAAAGCCTTTACTCTTTTTAAAAGGCCCTACAGTACCTACCAATAATTTGTGAGTAACTGAAGCACTTTAGAGACCATGATATGGGCTATAATCTCTCCCGTGGAAGACATTAAGTGCATAATATAATTTGTAGAATAAACAACAGTGCTATGCTATTGAGATATAATAAAACTATATAAACAGTGGCATGTTTTTTGTGTCGGTGTTTGAGACTTCCAGGTATTTGTTTTTCTTCCTCATTGCTGCTTATTGCCCTATTCTGTTGACCTGAACCCATAAATGTACCCACAGGAGAGGAAGATGTGCAGGGCATCACCTTTTAGAACAGGGTTCAGGTTTTGCTCTGTTCTGTGGTATAAGGGCCTCAGTGCTGGCTGCCAATTGGTGCTGGATAAGACAATAGGATTTCACCCAAATGTCTTTGTTTTCTGGTTTTCCAGCTCACCTTCATGAGTTTGAAAGTCTGTGCCCTGCTCTGAGTGAGCTCTGAGTGAGCTCTGCACTGACTTATCCAATCAAGCCTCTCAGTTCTTCAGAGACTTAAGTAGGAAAGAGGATGTGTCAGAAAGATGGAAGACCAGATGCGTTTTATCCAAATTAAACAAGAAATTCCAAAATAGCCTTTCCCGTCTGTGTGTGTGCTCATTTCCTTTCTAAAAGTATTATGACATCTTTAGAGATTAAGTAGGCTTGGTAAGGAAATCCAAGAAATGTAGGGCAAAAGTGTTGAATAAAAGATAATGGGATGAAGAGGTTTGAGATTATTAGACAAGGATGTGTGAAGGGGGAAGTGAGCTTTGTTGAAATACTGATCATTTTCATAACTCAGCTGGCCCCTTCCCAGGGTCATTTTCTAGCTTCAGGTGGTAGAGTGGACACTCGGCTGCCTACTGCATCCTCAGAGATGGGGAGTGTTCCTGGGAGTGCCTTGTGAAGGGGGAGATGGCGTACCCCGAGGAGCCATGGGAGAAGTGACAATGATAAGTCTCCTCTGAGGAGCCAACAGAATAGCTCTGTCCTAAACATGACCCACGGGGTGCACTATGGCTGCCCACTTGGGCACAGTGCAGGGGAGACAGTGATGAGCCCACAGCATGGGCGGCGGTTGCCCTCCTGATCCATGGGACCAGGTAGGGACCAAGTCACGACACGTAGCCAAATCATTTCTCAGCTGGGAAAATGCCATGAAGGAAGAGGTCAGCAAGTTCGGGGTGTGCAATGAAATGGGCCCTGATTGAGGTGTCAGGAAGTATGACACCCTGCAAGGGATGCACCTTAGGCCATGACAGAGGTGCTGCTCTGGCATGCAGTTAAGAGCTTGCTCGGTGTCAAGACTGGTGCAGATCCGAGGTCAGGTCCCTTGTCTGCCCTGCCCCGGATCAGAGTGACCATCCCTCTCTGCTGACCCTCCCCTGGCTCTCCAGGCCCTAGGGAGGACAACCCTGTCCTGAAGCACAGTCCAGACTAATCAGAGTGGTGAAAGGGCTCATCAAAGGCCAGAGCTGTAGAGGGGATCAGGACACCACAACAGAGTGGTCCCTTGGTCCCCCTGACCTCTGAATCAGGAATCCTGGCAGCAATTACCCTGCTCTGTTAGCAGTGGTGCACTTGGGAAGCCAGCGGTGTGACTGAACAAGACCAGCCAGCGGGGGCAGGTGGTGGACAGTGGCAGAGGGGAAGGCTATGGGCCTCTCTGGAAGGACAGACACAGCCTTCTCTGCCCACACCTACCTGCCTTGGTCCAGTCCTCCCCCTTTTGGACTGTACTGCCTGGCTTGGGCTGGTGGATAGCCCAGGAGCTAGAGGGTAAAGGACAGGCTTGGAGTCACACCGATGCTCCTGCTTGGTACTGAAGAAGGGAGAGAGCGGCACCTGGGGCCTCCTGCAGACCCACAAACCCTGTGTACTTGGGTGGGAGTCTAGGACAGGAGTCCTTAGGATCAACCACTTGGTGGTGATATTCCAGGTAATTTAGAAATGGCATGGCAGGGGTTCTGAGTCCGGCCCTGGCTCTGGCAGTGTCAGGCTGCTCCCATCTCCCTGGGTGGGAAAAGCCAGGGACGAGGCTCCCAGGAGGCCACAGTTCTGCATCCCTGGGTTCCAGAGTGGGGAGGTGCAGGTAAGTGCTGCTCACTTCTGATTGGAGTCCATCCTTCTAGCCTGGCCCCAGTGATGTCCCCAGTGAGTTTTGGTGGGAGTCAAAGAAGCTGCCAGGCAAATGTGCCCATCTGTCTCACCAGACAGTGAGCAAGGGCTCTGGCCTGAGAAGGTCCTCTGCCCTTCCAGCAGGAAAAGACTTCCCCTGTGGTCCACAGGGCTGCAAGGTCACAGTAGCCAGTGAGTTCCTGGGGCCTGGGCTGGCTGAGGGAGGCCCCCCTGGTGTCCCTTACCTCCAGCGTCAAGGTGGGGTTGTCCAGGATAATGTCCCGCTCCACCACCACCTCGGCCTCATCGTGCACCTTGCATATGGCTGTGGTCCGGATCATGTTGTCTGCCTTCAGGTACTTCTCGTACTGGGCATATGTGATCTTCACCGGATGCTGCACTTCTGTAGGAGAAGTCGGGGGATGGACAGAGTGTGAGGGAGTACTCATTCTTTTCTCAGGGCTGTCAAGCCAGGGTGAGCCGGCAGGAGCACCTGCAGCCTAGGGCTTGTCTGAGTGCCCTTTGGGCCAGGCCCTGATGTGGGTGGACTCCAGAGCAGGGACTGAGGGAGAGACCAGGATGTGAGCTGGCTGGAGAGACTCCTTAAAGTACAGGCTTCCAGGGGCTGTGGTAAACTGCAACTCCCAGTTTGGGAAAAATTGCCTAACGGTGTTCACAATAACAATGACAATACAGTAATGGCTAGGAAGGGAAGCCAGGGTATTGGCTAAATAAATGTCTAGAATCTTCCCGGCCGCTGAGGTCCTATTGCGACAGCAGCTCCAAGCATCTTCCCACCTCAGGGCCCTGCTGCTTCCCAAACATCCGTACACTGGAAGACACAGGCTTGCACAATGCAGTTTTCTAAATTATGTCTTCCCTACTCTGAGTCATGACAAAAACTTTCCGTGTCTCCCCACTACCTCAGGGATCAAGTGACCTTACTCACCTATCCCTTAAAGAATCCGCCACTGCTCACTATGGCCTCTGCCACTCGGCTGGCAGGATCCCCACATGGCCCTGCTTCCCTCAGCTTCTCTCCCAGGCCTGGCACCTCTCGTCATCTGATACACAGGCCCCAGGGCCCTGTTCTGGTTGCGCTGGGTGGCTTGGGGGTGATCCACGAGGAGAGAGCTGCCACTGCTTGTATAGCTGGAGGGACTTGGCATGGTGAAAACAGACCCAGGACCTAGGTGGTCTTGCCTTCCTGGTGGCTAAACCCTCACAGCTCAGCTCTAATGCTCAGAAAGGGAAGGAGAAAATTCCAGGGTCACCCAGTGCTCGGCAGCATCAGGACCAGGGGCACTTCGCCTGCCTCCTCCCCTGCTTCCACTTCACTCTGCCGTTTCCTTCACATGAACTGTTTGGGGCCTGCAGAAATGAGCTCCTGCTTGGGTGGGAACAGTAGCCATACTCAGTGCGGAGCACTTGCCTGGCATGTGCAAGGCCCTGGGCTAGATTTTCAGCACCAGGGGAAGAAAGCTCTTCCTTTGAGCTCCAAAAGTAAATAGCATCTAGGCAGTTGCTTCTAATGTTGAGATTTCTGCCAGAATCTGCCAGAAGGCAGACTAGGGGATGTGGCCTTCTCACAGGTACAATACATCTCAGTTTCTCCAGCAGATAGAATTCTTTCAAAATGGGCTAGATAATTAGTCAGTTTCTATTAGTTCCTTTATGTAATGCAAAGAATTCACCCTTGTGAATCTGCTTCTAAGTCCAAACTATTCATATGGCATGAAGGAGTTCACCAGTGTGGGCACACCTGCATCCTAACCCCATGGCATCCATCTTTCTCTGCTCTACCTCCCTTCCTTCCCTTCTTTGCTACCCTGGGACAAGGATCTAATGTTCTTCCCAGGTGCTCCGGCCTTCAAGGAAACCCATCTCTGTTGTCAAGAGTCAAGAAATTCTACTCACATCCTGACAGCTGTGGGGAGACCCAGGGTTAGCAGTCTTGGCCCATCCAGGGCCAAACTCGAAGTGGTCTGTGGTGGGGAGAGGGAGGAGGGTATGGGGTGGCACCACAAACAACAGACATAGGGTGGTGTGGGATTTAGCAACAGGAAACCAAGATCTGGGCATCCCCAATTGCCAGCTATCATTCCTCTCTCCAGGACATGGATCCTGAGATCCAGCCATTCCAGAAAGAAGGTCAAGTGAGGCAGTTTACAAAGACTGCCAGGCCATGGCAAGGCCTCTCTCCTGTCTTTCCTGGGATGATCTTGGTTGCAGCAATTATTACTTTTGCTATTCATAGAGAACATCTTCTGGAACGTAAAACCCAAGGCTTAGCCACTGAAGCTGCCACTGATCTGCCCCTTCAGTGGGTGGCCTAGAGTCTGCCAGGAGCCTTCCAGTTCCAACAGACTGTGAGCCCCGCACACACACAGGCCCACCAATTATCACATGAATTACCTTCTTCAGGGTCCAGGGATACCGTGGCAGAGTCCTTCCACACCTCATGTACAAGTGTGCCGTTGTAGACGATGGTCCAGGCTGTCATGTTCACTGTCAGCGTCTTCCTGTCACTGGTCAGGTTTTTGAGCAGCAGGGCTAAGTTGACCTCTTGGCCCACTGCCAAGACCCCATTCACCTTGAACCTTCCAGAAATGCTGGGTGTCAGCTCTTCTGCTGGAAAATCCTGCGCGGACGTCGGGCCAAATGTCGCGTTGGGTTTCAGTTTGCTCAGGGCCTTCTGCTGCACTCGTCTTTCCTCACTGGAACCTTTGGGATGGGAAATAAAAGAAGCATCTCAGGGAGGTGGTGGCAATTTGGGCAAAGGACAGCACCTACCTGGAAGGCTGACCTGGGACTAGCCGTGGCCTTGCGGTCGCTAAGACTGCTTCAGTTACCGTTTCTTATTTTTAATTTTTGACAGCAGGTCTTTTGTGAGACTTAAAAAACAAAAAATTGTTTAAAAAAACAACAAAAACTGATATAAAATTTTAGGGTAAATTTATGATAGGTTCTGGCCCTAGTATGAATTGCTAAATCATCATGGTGGTCATCTAACATGGCTGATGGCCTTAAAAGGCTGTCTTCCCAAGACCACCTCCCCCTTCTTCTTCAACTTAGTCCAGGGTACAATTTCCTTTCACCCTTCCCACGGCCTCAGGGAAGACCCCCAGTCAGCTCCCTCAGGTCTATCTAAAGATCCCCTTTAAACTCCACCCCTGGCAAAAGGCTGTAAAAGCCTCAGCCTCCCTTTGTTCCAATCGAGAATTCCTCATTTTCCCCACATTCTCTCCACTTCCTTAAAGATAATAAAGCCCCTTTCCCTTTTTCCTTCTACCTGTTTTTCTGCTGCGCCTGACACCTGGAAAAAAAACCTATCAATTTATAAGCAAAAACAAAGTTTTTGTTTATAAAAAAACTTTGTTAAAAAAAAAGAATTCACAACACTTCTCCCCTTCCCTGGTCTGTGTCTAGAGGCATTCCGAGATTTAGACAGGGACCTAGGATTCCATAGCTGGGATGGCTTGAGCTGTGACTAGAGAATTGTCAAGAGATTTCAAAAATGCAAGGACTGGATTAAAGCATGAATTTTTGGACTTGTGCTCTGGTTGTAGGTGCTACAAAGGTGAAGTGTGAGGAGCCCTCCGGGAGCCCTGCTGCTGGTCCCTGGGAGGCATCCAGGGCACTAACTGTCAAGTAACCAACCACAAGCTCTGTTCCAGGCTAACGAAGTGGTCACACAAGCCTCCTGACCCTGACCTGCAGAGAGACCTGCATGACGAAGGAGGTGGTTGGGCCAAATGTAAATACAGAAACATATTCCCATCTGCAGGCCTTTAGGGGAGGGTCCCTTGGCTTCCCCAGTCGATCTGTGAATTTTCCAAGGCCCCCTAAGCACTTTACAATTCAGGAAGCCCTTCCCTGTACATCATGTATAACACGGGCTGAGACTTTAGGGGCCAAGGCCATCACAGTTGAGAAGAAGCCACTGGTGCAGGCTGCTCTGTGGATTAAATGCAGGAGGAGGGCCATCCCCAGGTCCCTGGAGCCCCAGGGTAGGGTTCCTCCCCACTCCCTGCTACAAGGAGGCAGCCAGGTTACCCAAGCTGAGAGCTCCTGGTGGGCTGGGTTCCTCCGGGTGCCCTTCCATTCTCTGGCCAAGGTGTAAGTCCACGCCCAAGGCTCAAGGTTGTTCAGGGATCCGAGGCTCCAGTGCTCGGGACCTCGACGCAGTGTGTTTGCACAAGGAGGCTCAGAGCCTTGATGCCTATATAGGTCATCTGCTGGGCTTACTCAGGACTAAACTTCCTCCTGCTGCTTTCAACCATGATGTTGCTATTGTGTAAATGCTTAGCAACCCATTTTATGAGCTTTTCCTCCCTGGGGCCTTCTGAAACAAGCTGATATAATTAAGTAAGAAGATCTGGGCACCATGGGCAGGGTGACTTGTCCAACCATCATGCACGGGCTGAGGCATTGCCAAGGGACCATCCCATACCCCCACACCCCAACACTTAGGAGGTGTGGCTAGATGGCCAGAGCCCCCTAGTGGCAGAATCAACATGTGAGAGTAACAGGGAAACTCACAGGCTCATGTACCCAAGTAGACCGGGCCTGCAAAATAGTCACCTTGGGAGGGCATTAGTCCAGGTACGGTGCAGGTATTCAAATGGATAAAGGCCACTCTGCTGTTTGTTAAGTCCTTGCTATCTGCCAGGCATTGAGCTTGGCACTTTGTGTGCGCTTGTGTATTGAAATCCAGCTGAAGACAGGCATTGCTAACGAAGCTTCAGGGGCAAGGAGCTGAGGGATCAGAGATCATGAGAAACCCGCTTAGGGTCATGAGATGCCAAGTGGGAGGACTGGCATTCACCCTCTGCGCTGGGTTATTTGTGCCTGTGCCTTATGCTTGTAGCTGAGTGTACTTGGACTGAATCTGCCTCCCCCACAGCCCCAGCTGCAGTGTCCTCCGCTGCGTCCCCAGGCCGAGCCTGGAGCAGGCACTTGGGAGACGCTTGTGAAAGTTGTAAGAGCCAAGTGGAGTCACTTGTGTCAGCCTTCACAGAAGTAAAGAAGGAAATAAATAAAGCAGGAGGTTAGAACAAAGGGTTCTTATGTATGATTGCTTAACAGCAAGTATTCCAAAAGACTCTTCCAGAACCACAAACTTGCACAGAGGCTTCCACAATCTTATACAAAAAGTACTTCTACAAGGATATGTGCCTCGAAACTGGTTGCTCAACCTTGGACTGATTCTAACCTGGATCTTAATTGCTGTGGCCAAAGATTACTGTCCCAATAGTATCTGCTGTAATCCTCATTTTCCCTTCAGAACTGTCTCAATCTCTGCTTCGATCTCTGTGAATATGCCTATAGTTTACTAGCTCATGTACATTTCCATTGCAACATTCTGCTGTTTCCAAATAAATATAGTTATTTTTTTGGAGACTCTAATTTTGATTGCTTTTTTAGGTTGACAGGCTCAACACTTGTTTATTGATTAAGACAAAGTCCATCTGACTTCAACCCTGAAAGCAGCCTGCGGAGACAGAAGGAAATCAAACTGAGGCTGCTGATCCCATTACCCAAGAGTTGTGCATCGAAAGGTCCATAAATACCAGGACTCAGTGGGATTGGCCCTCTGGCCTGGGAGTCAGAACTCCAAATCTTGCTGTGCCAAACACCAGCAGCCAGAAGTTGCTCAAAGATTTGGAGTTTATTCTCGGGGGCAATGGGAGCATATTTTCAAGAGTACTTTTCTTGACTCTGGACTTGACTGTGAAGAGAAAATGAATCAATGACTTCCAAGCATTTTGGAAGCAGTAAATGGCTGACCCCATTAAGGGATGATCATGGCCCACTACAGCAAGTGCTGAATACTTTGGGTTGTTTCTAAAAGTAAATTTCACCTGGCTTCTTGGGAACCCCAGAATGTGGCCCAAGCCCACATCTTGGACCTCTTGGTCCATTTATTTGTTCAGATGCTAATTCCCACTTCTGGTTCTTAGAGGCTCAGAAGGCAGACTGTGGGGAATATCTCCCAAAGCCTTTGGAACCTCCAGCGGAGGCCACCTCTCTGTGTGATGCCCAGCCCTGCTACTATCACCTCTGTCTGCAACAGAGATGAGCAGGGCATCCCCCTGTCTGTCCCCTGCCCCAAGTGGCTGCTGGCATGGCCGCTGCCCTGGATCTTTCTGTACCCACTGAAAACAGAGCAGTTGGGTGTTTGGGGCCAGGGAGCCATCCTTGCCTTCGGGCAGAACTAGCTGAGAACTTGGGGATCTGGTGAGGTGGAGATGAGGCCTTTTCTTCTTCCCACCTTCAAATCCACTCACCCACCACTAAGCTCCCTGGGGTTCCGCCCTGTCAGCGCCCCACCTACCTTCTGGGTACTTGTACTTGTCTGTGACATCCATGCGAGAGCGGCTGCCCACAGCCTTGGTACTGATGTACCTGCCAACGGACTGAGTGTCTACAAAGTTCTGTTTCTTGCTATCGTTGGAGGCCGAGTAGATCCAGGTGATGCGGTCGGCATTAACCTCCGAGTAGATGAAGGGCATGTCGAAATTCTGGTCCACATCACCCTCTCGGACTGCGATAACTGAAGCTGGGCCACACTGGAATACACCTGGCAACAGATGCAGGGGTCAGACACATGCATGTCAAAGCTAACCTCACCTACAAAAGCCTGTTTCAGCCTGCTTCTCCAAGGGCCGTCCACCAAGTCTCAACTCTCTCCTCTGTCCTGGCCAGGCTGTCTCACCTGGAAGTCAGCAGATACCTCCCATGTTATCTTTCTGCATGACACCTGTTTCAAACTCAATTTCTACCTAAAACTGATTCCGTTCTGCCTTCTGAGGTTGTCTAATCTGAGCTGACCATGGCCACCAATCTGTTTCCGAAAGAGCAAAGGATCAATATCTGTATTCAGAACAGCTTCCTTTTTTCTACCTCTACAAATCATTCTATCCTAGAAGGTCTTCGCCCTAAGTCTTGGAAGACTTCTTTGAATAGCTTAGGAGAGAGAGAGAGAGAGAGAGAGAGAGAGAGAGAGACAGACAGACAGACAGACTGACTGACTGACTGACTGACTGACTGACTGACTTAGGAAATGTCCAGCTGAAAGAAAGTAAAGTACAGCAGAGTTGAAAGAAAAATATTACTCTATTTGTTTACAAAACAAATTGTCTTTGTTTAAACACATATAATTTTTTACATGCTTGAAACAGTGACTTTTTTCTTATTTTGCTGTGATCCTAAGGAGGAAATATATGTGCTGCCCTGGCACACGTGTAATACTGAAACAAAAGTTTCATAGGACGATACTTAGTTTTATTAGTCTAATGTACCCTGATAATTTACTGTTTCCCTTTCCATTCTATTTAATTTTCATTACTTACAACAATGGTCACCACTCATTAACATGACTGTTTAATCACCTACTGAGTTGCAATAGAAAGTTTAAAAACCAGTGGGTGGGCTGGGGAGATAGCTCAATGGCATAAGTGTCTGCCTGGCAAGTGCAAGGACCCAAGTTCCATCCGCATGTGGTGCTGACCCTGAAACCATGTGTAGTGGCACACGCCTACAATCCCACTGCTGGGGAGCCTGAGACAGGAGGATCACTATGAGTCTGAACTACATAGTGAGACCCTGTATCAAAATAAACAAAAATAAACAAACAAAAAAACCCCAGAGGGCTAGAAAGTATCTGAAGGTGACCTCCAACCCCAAGCCCACTAACATACCTTGCTTCTGGTAGAGGGGCTGGGGTGGCAGGGTGTGGTGAGGCTTAAGTTTCATTGTCAAGTCCTTTTAGGATTGCTTGAATTTTAAAAACTACGTGTACATATTTATAAATCTGTGTTTGTTTTTGAAAAAAAAAAAACAACAACTCAAAGTAAAAGTGACAGGGGCTGGTGAGATGGCTCAGTGGTCTAAAGCACCTACTTAGAACAAGCTTAGCAAAGCACAGGGACCGCGGTTCAATCCCCCAGCACCACATGCCAGCCAGCCCCGCCCCCTGGTGGGCTGAGCTGGCCACACACACACACACACACAAATAACAGACAGGAAAAGGAAAGGCTGCCTGAGAGGCTGAGACCTCATTCTACTAGAGGAGGAGGGGACAGAGGCAAGGCCACCTGGTGGAGGGGGCTTGGTGAAGTCACAGATGCTCCAGAAGGGAGGAGCCACTGTGGACTGTGATCCCAGGTCTGTGCAGAGCTGTGGCCTAAAGCCCAAGGGTCAGGGGAATCACCATGTAGAAGAGGGGCCTGGAAGCAGTGCTGGAAAGTGCTGGCCAAGAAAACTATTTTCCACCACCTGGCAGAGCTGGGCCTCTGTGCCACAACAGCAGTCAGTGGTGCAAGGGAGGCCCCAGGTGAAGAGCAGCTCAAACCACACAACCACGGGCAAACCTATTTTAAATGCCTATTGAGATTTAACCCCTCAGTACATTGCAGAGACGGGAGGTCCAGGTTAGTGCCTCCAGCTGCTGTCCTTCTGTAAAGAACACAGGCCCATGAGGTGCTGCCCAGCTAGCACCAAGCCCCAGGCTCACCTTGGCTCCTCTCCTGGGGGGTGGCATCCAGCACCTGCCATCCATTGTAGGAGGGGCCCAGGTCAGTGCGCACAAACCAGCCTTCATTCCAGACGTGGAAGTTCCTGCAGACAGAACCAGAGACAGCAGAGCTTACCCAAGGCCACACAGCAAGGGTGTGGCAGACCGGACAGGACAGCACCTTGGTCCTGTGAGGTGAGGTAACCCCTAGACATGCTACTGTGCTAGGTGCTGGAAAGCACTGTTGAATGGGAATCCTCACAAGACTCTGTGTAGGCCCACTTCATCAAGGGGGAAACCAATGCTCGGAGACATTAAGGCGTTAATAACAGCAAAGTTGAAGTCTGGATGGACCCAGATACACTTGACTCCAAAGCCAGAGCTTTACCCACAGTCTACTGTCTTTCTGAGAGGCAAAACAAATTCCTGGTTTGCACCAGTCACCCAGCTCTGGGCTGGCCTCCTCCATGGCCTCCCTGGTGGACAAGTCTGCTGTTGGCTGGGGCTAAGAAGGGACAGGGTCACAGCAGGAGGAACGGGCCTGGCTAACAAGCACATAGCCTCTTGGTTGGAGTCAAACTGATGCATAATAGACCCCTTCACATGTAGCAATAAATGCTGAAAGAAAAATAGAGAAGACAACTAGCTGAGTGTGAATAAAGCAGGAGGATTTTAGCCATGAGTCAGAAGAGCAAGAAGCGCCCAGCAGGGAGTGGCCTTGCCCCAGGACAGGGCGCAGTCCGGGGCAGCCCCTATCTTTCTGACCCAAGGCCAAGAAACAGAGCCCAGGTCACCTAGGATTGCTGAAGAGTGAAGGGGGTGTTCTGGAAAGGTGGCTGGGGAGGACTAACCCCCAAAATATCTATAAACTCTGCCCAAACCTCTGGGTGACCCCTGAGCTGTGTGTATGACGAGGCTGACTATAAGCAGGCCAGCTGGTGGTGACAGCCAAGCTGAGACTGGAGCTTGCAGCGTGAGTCTATCAAAGCCAACTGCTAAAACAAAATAACAGAATACTGACACATCACTTCCCTGGGGTACAATCACTCCTCACACAAAGCAACAGAAAAATGTGATGTGTCCTCAAGGGAAAAGATAGTCAACAGAGAGGTACCATAAAACAAGTGAGATGTTGGAATTATTGGACCAGAACATCATTGTTTGATTATTTATATACTTATTTATTTATTTTTGTCTTTTTGAGATAGAGGCTCGGCTCACTATGCAGTTCAGGCTGGCCTTGAACTCACTTTATAGCCCAGGTTGGTCTCAAACTCACAGAGATCCTCCTGTCTCAGTCTCAGCACTGCTAGGATTACAGGTGGGGGCCACCATGCCAGGCTTAAAAGCTTAAATATTGCATAACTTCTCTTATGTGGGAAACTCAAAGTATAAATAAATTAAAGAGCAAAATAAAAGATAGATAATGGGAAATAGGAGCTATATCTTTCATAGAAGGGAAGAGGATCAAGAAAAGGGGAACAGGGAGGGGAAGAGAGGTTGGGATAGAGTTAAGACGGGAAACAAATACACACCAACTCCCCACAATGGATGGAATCATTATGTGTTGCAAACCTGTACTAATAAAAAAAAGTAAATAACATTAAAACTAATAAAAAAGAAATTTTGAATTGAACAGAAGAAAGAAGGAACAACCTTCAAGATGGAAGGTATATATAGTGGCAAGTATCCTGCCTGAATAGGAGCAAGAGAAAAGACTGGAAAAAAATGAATGCAGTAAGAAAATAAGGACAACATGTATGCCAGACAGGTTTATTACAGTAATATGGTAAAGGGTCTGCAAATCAATTTTTAGAAAAAGAGGAGAAAGAAAAACATCACAGTAAGAAAACATCTTCATAAGAAACACAGTTTGATGTTTGTTTCGTTTTATAGTGCCGAGAATCGGGAATCTGACTCAGGACCTCTCACTCGCCAGGCAGGCACTGTGCCAATGAGCCAAATCCCCAGCCCCTGACTTCATAAGAAACAAATGATCACTGAACATAAGAAAATGATTTTGGGTCAGGGAGGTAGCTCAGCAACACAACTGCCTGCCTGGTAAGCGCAAGGTCCTGAGTTCAATTCCCAGTACAAAAAAAAAAAAAAAAAAGTTTCAATCTCACTACTCATCAAAGAAAATTAAAATGACAAGGAGATACCATTACAAGTGTACACAGATTACATCTTTTAGACTGACAGGGATTAAAGTGCAGGATGAAACCAGTGTTGTCCTCCTTCCAGATGAGAAAACACGTGCCGTCACACAGTACGGGTGGGAGTTTAAATTGCCCTGACCTTTGTGCCGGCACCTGGCAATGAGTACAGTATAAAAATCCTTTACGGATCTGCATACTCACCCAGCTGGCATTTCCACTCTAGGAATGTCTACAGAAAAGCTCCCGTGAGTGCAGAGGGGCACAGGCAGCTGTGCTCACTGCAGCATTGGCTGAGTTAGCAAAAAGGTTGAAAGAAAACTTCATCAGCCCAGGGATGATCAGACAAATTGTGGCATGGTCATAGAGTAGAATAGCATTCGGACAAGTTTTTCGGAGATGCAGTAAAGAGATGGGAAAGATAAAAAAAGCCTTTATTAACTCCAGAGACACGGACTGGACCGAGGGCAGATGGGGCAGATAGATCCTCTGGCCTGAGACAAAGAAAGCTGGGGCTTTTATGGACTTGTGTTAGGGGTGGAGTTTGAGGGGGATGTCTAGAAATATCTGAGGAGCTTATTGGGATCTTCATTGAGGTGGTGGGAAAGGTGAAAGAAAATTGCACCTTGGGCTGGGTTGGAGAAGAACGAGGAAGTGGTCACTAGGGAGATAAGCTGTCATTTTAAGGGCTTCAGCCATATTAGATGACCACCATAATAATTCAGCAATTCACACTAGGGCCAGAACCTAGCACATTTAGCCAAACATCAGAACAAAGTGTTGTCTAACATATATCATGAAGAAAATCAAATTCCAAAGTAGTGTGTTTATATACACAAATATGCATACACATATATCTACACATGATTAATCTTTTTGAGTTAAAAATTCTATATATAAAACTTGGAGAAAGCCTCTGATAATTCTATTGTCTTATCTATGATTAACAATTTGGTATACATATATTATGTGTATGTGCATTCGAAATAAGTTTTATGCTTTTAATTTCTATTATGTTTTTCTTTTTTATAAGTCACTCATTAAAAAGAAATTTAAAAAATTTTTTAAAACTTA